TGTCAGACGTTTCAGGTAGCATATAGCGCCCACTATCGTTTGCAAAATCATATCAAGTTGCTTAAGTAACTGTTTTGGCGTGATTTTTGTGGGCACGGTGGTGGGGGGGGGGGTCATATGGCTGCAGTATAGCTGCAGTATATAACCAGAATTACAAGTCAATTGTAGAAGGACGCTCACGAACGTTGGTTCAGTTATGGGTCTTTTTAAAAGTGTTGAACACACTTTTTATTTACCCTTTTCCACTATACATTTCATTTTCTCAACTCAACCAGAACTTAACCAGGCTACAGAACAAATGTGGTACGTCGAAGCTAAGCTAAGGCAGTTGAAAATTCAAATTTATGTTTCTGCAGATTATATTTTAAAAAAGAAAAGCAGTGTAACTGGCTTAAGGTAGATCATGTGAAGGTAGATGTTCGGTACGTACCTCTTTATTGGAGACGCAGTTGCCAAGGCAACGAACAGCAGAAGGAAGGGAGTCATGGTTGATATATAGATCTGAAAGAGACAGACACACTTTATTTATTTCATCATAACACGGCTGGGTAGCCCCATTCAGCTTACATTGGCTGTTTTAGAAGGGGGCCAGCAAAATTACAAGACAAGACATTGTAACATACAGTAAAACAAGAGTGGACAACATACAGTAAACATTAAAGTCTGATGCGTCAAAACAGAGTCATAGTCCTATACTCAAAGTCCTAGTCGTTCAGAGGTCAAAAACACGAAAATCACGAATGGAAATTTTGCGCAGTGACCATTGTTAGAGTAAAACCCGCACAAAAATAATCTGCAACTCTCATAGTTGAAGAGGACACCTTACGATCACCACAAAATTCCACAAAACTACGACAAAGGCGAATGTGACTGTATAGTAGACTTACCAATCCTGAAGACTTCAAGTTCTGGATCTGAATGTTTCCGAGATCCGAGGCCCTAATATACCGTAGGTGTGAGAAGACGAACAGGTTGCAACGGATACACTGCTGTTTACGTCAACACGAACGTCTAAATATAACTCAGTTGACGTCGATGAAGGGACGTCCATAGCAAATAAACTATTGTCAAGGATATCAAGGATAAGTTACGACCTCCAGTAGAGGTCAAGGAAGGAGGGGGGGGGTCAGTGCCACCGTAGTTGGTGTCCATTTTTGCCACGAGGGACATCCATAGCAAATAATCTCTTGTCAAGGATAATTATATAATAAGCAACGACCTCCAGCAGAGGTCAAGGAAGGGGCTGAGATGAAGGGCGGGAGGGGGGTGCAATGACACCACATTTGCCACGAGGCTGAGTGTAACGGTTTTTATGCAAAGGATTTGCCTATTTTGTAGCTCAAACAAAGTAGAGGACGAAGCCCACTTTGTTATTGATTGTAGTTTATATAGTAATGAAAGAAATGATCTTTTTAGATATATCACAAGTACGTTTCCATACTTCCAATACCTGCCTAATATTGAAAAAATTATCTTTCTTATGCGCTTTGATCATCCTATACTATACAAACAAATCATATTTTTAACATCACAAAGAAACGAGAAGCAGAACTTCTGTATTAGAGTAGATTTAGAGCTAGTTGTACTACAAACATGTATATTACCCATTTCATCTGTGCGCCTGTACTTAGCCCGATAGGGCATGAATGTACAAAAAAGGTTATTATTATTATTATTATGTTTACCGAAGGAAAACATATTGTTTTTGCTCCATTTCTTCTTCTGTTCCAAACACTAACCTCTGACCTGATCAATGGCCTCTTTTGTTGACGTCTGTCACCATAGTAACTGGTGTTGGGTTACATAATGTTTCATAGTAGGCATGTTGACTCCTGTCACCATATACATGTACATGCATGCGAATGTGTTTGAGTAAGAATTAACAGAGCAGACCGTATCCGAAGGTAAACATTATGCATTTGCTTCGCAAATGTTACTTTTCTAGTTTATTTTTTTCGTACCGTGCGTGGGTGTCGGATACATTACCATATGAAATGTATAAATAGGACTTCTCAAATAGGACTTTTCAACAATATTTGACTAATTACTGACGTCATACGTAAATAAAGCCACATCTACTGAGTAATTGAAACGTCTGGGCGGGTCCGACTGGTGAGTCCAGTTTGTAGTGTGTTTGCCTCAGGACCAAGAGGTCCCGGGTTCGAATCCTAACCATGTCACCGATCCTGTCCCCTTGCAAAAGGCACTTAACTTGAATTCCTATTTTGCTGGTAGGTACTGTGTAATACTTGTGTATTACAGTTAAAGGCGATTTATTGATTATTGTTGTATCTAGATCCTGGAGCAAAAATAATCAGCGTTGTTCGATACAAGTGGGGTCGTGCGGCATAAACAATAGTGCGGCTCACACCCCAGAGGTCCCGGGTTCGAATCCTACCATGTCACCGATCTTGTGCCCTTGCAAAAGGCACTTAACATGACAGTCCTCACTTCACTCAGGTGGAAATGAGTAGCTAGCTTCGGTTAGGGACGTCAATCGGATAGGAAGTTAAATGGTGGTCCCGTGTTTGGGAGAGCCACACCCAAAGACCACAACACTTATCAAAAAGAGTAAGGGTTCTTTCCGGTGTGAGTGGTTCAAACCTTACAGTCCTGTCTTGTAGGTACATTTACAATGGTGTTCGTACATGTAAACTGGTGTGTTACACCTAAAGGCGGTTTACTGGGTATGAGAAACAAGCAAGCAAACACTTTAGTTATGCCAAAAAACAGTTACTCAAGCAACTGGATATGATTTTGAAAACGTCGGACGTTTCAGCTAGTATCCACTAGCTTTCGTCAGTGACTGTCGAAAAGTCACTAGCTGAAACGTCTGACGTTTCCAAAATCATATCCAGTTGCTTGAGTAACTGCTTTTTGGCGTTAAATAGCATTCAACTCTAATTAAATCAATCCGCAGGACCCTCTACAGCGACCACTAATTACAAAAGAAATCAACAAAACGACAGAAGGATAGAATACTATGTGAGTACACTCTACACTTACCGATCCTGAAGACTTTAAGTTCTGGATTTGGAAGAGCCGAAGACCTGAGGTCCTAATATACCGTATGTGTGAGAG